TGCATGTGTGTCTGTGTGTCTGCAGGTGTGTATGAATGCATGTGTGTGTACAGGTATATGTGTGTGTGTGAATGTGTACATGTGTGCGTGCTCGTGTGTGTCAGGTGTGCGGCTGTGAATGTGCACAAACAGGCACGTGTGTGCGTGAGCTTCCACCCCGCCGTCAGCCTGGACACGGCAGCAGGATGCATACCTAGAGATGTCCTTCTAAGTCTGCGTGACCTCCAAAGATTTAACCTCCCCGTCTCCTCAGTCCCCTTATAAAACGTTTGGCAGGTGCATCTTCTGCGAACACAGGCCCGCGCCCCCCTCGGACTCTGTATGATTTCACATAAAGAGCAGAATTCCGCGGCCGCCTCGTGCCCGTGTCCACAAACCAATTCAGCCGTGTCCTTTCCATTCATTCTTCATGTCTGACCATGCTCCCTTTCTCTTCTCCTTTTAAATGGAGATGTCATGAGTCAGGTAATAAGAGACAGCCGGGGTCCTGCGATGTCACCCCCACGTCTCCGCGCCTCCCGGAATTCTGAATACGGTTCATTATTCTTCCCCGCAGCAGAGCCCGTTGGACGTGTGATTGCCTGGACAGGGCAGGGTATTTCCATCATCACCCCGGCCAGCACGGCACGCTGAATATTCAGATTAAATGGGGACTTTTTCCCTATGAATAAGGCATTTCATTCCGTCCCGTGATATACGGCGTCTTCGGGGACGGAGAAATTGAGCTGAAGGTTGGCGGAAATTGTATTTTCCAAACGTACAGCGCTTTCGCTGATCATCACAAGGTAAGACGCGGCCGTGGGGGGCGAGGAGGTCAGGAGAGAATTCAATCAGAGATGAAAATGGAAAGGGGGCCATTTTTCTTTTTTTGTTTTTTTTTTTTTTTTTTGAGAGACAGTATTCCTGTCACCCAGGCTGCAGTGCCGTGGTGCCATCTCGGCTCACCGCGACCTCCGCTCCCCGGGTTCAAGTGATTCTCCTGCCTCAGCCTCCCGCGTCGCTGGGACGACAGGTGCCCACCAGGACGCCCTTTTTAAAATATTTTTAGTAATGACGGTTTTTCACCATGTTGGCCAGGCTGGTCTCGAACTCCTGACCTCAGGTGATCCGCCCGCCTCCGCCTCTCAAAGTGCAGGCGTGAGCTGCCGTGCCCGGAATGGGGGCGTTTTTCAACGTACCGTTTATTTGGGCAGACAACCGTCACGGGAGAAGAGGGGGGATGTGTGAAGGGCTCTGGGGTTCTGGAGGGTCGGAAAACCCCATGAGAGACGAGACATGTTCCATCCTGTCCTTCGTGGTGCCCATGAGCACTCATGAGCTTACCAATGGGCCAGTGCAGAGGGGCTGCTCTCCCTCTGCAATGACCCTGGCTCCCTCCTTCCTCCCATCCCAGGGAAGCTGACCCAGCTCTTTGTTCCCGGGCCTGCATCCCACGACGGAGCAGAGTCTTCTGGAATCTTCCTCTCCACTCTTCCCTCCCCACTCTCAGTTTTTATTTGATTTATTTTTTATTTATTCATTTATTTTTTTGAGACGGAGTCTCGCTCTGTGGTCCAGGCTGGAGTGGAGGGGTGTGATCTCAGCTCACTGCAACCTCCGCCTCCCGGGTTCAAGCGATCCTCCTGCCTCAGCCTCCCAAGTAGCAGGGACTGCAGATGCCCGCCACCACGCCCGGCTAATTTTTGAATTTTCAGCAGAGGCCCGGTCTCACCATGTTGGCCAGGCTGGTCTCCATCTCTTGACCTCATGATCCACCGGCCCCGGCCTCCCAACGTGCTGGAGTTCCAGGCATGAGCCACTGTGCCCGGCCTGCCGTCTGCTTTTTCTCCCCAGGAAAGTTCCATCAGCAACGCACCAGCCCCCTACGAGACGGGCAGACCCAGACGGGCAGGGCGTCCAGCCTGCTCTCCGACAGTTAGGATGAGTGGGGCTGGCACCTTCCCAGCAAGCTGTGCACACCTCGGGCCCTGCCAGCCTCACGCCCCAAAAGCGCCTCTCTGTTCTCCCAGAGCAGACCCTGAAGGCGCGTTCTGTTTCTGCCCTGAGTTACTGTCTGTCCTCACGGCCCGGAGCCTCACCCCCTGCGCCCCGGTACCCTGGCAGATAAAGACCCCTTGTGCAGACGTTCCAAGGAGCCCTTGCCCTGCAATACCACACAGACGCATCAAACGGTGAGTTACGGCGGGTGGAAACAGCCGTGATGAAAAGTGTGTCTGTTCTTTGAAAAGATGTGAGTGTATCCTACCCCCAGAGGTCCGCATGAACAGACTCCGCTGCCCCCACACATCACAGCACTGCACACAGACACGCTGGCGTCCCGGCGAACAAAAATGACTTCACAGAATTCCTGCGTGACAGCGCTCACGTGGCCAAGTACACTTGGATTATTATTATATATATATATATATATATATTTTTAGATACAGTCTCGATCTGTCACCCAGGACGGAGTGCAGCAGCGCGATCTCAGCTCCCTGCAACCCCCACCTCCTAGGTTCAAGCAATTCTCCAGCCTCAGCCTCCTGAGTAACTGGGATCAGACATGCACACCACCATGCCACACTAATGCTTGTCTTTTTAGTAGAGACGGGGTTTTGCCATGTTGCCCAGGCTGGTCTCGAACTCCTGACCTAAAGTGATCCACCCGCCTCGGCCTCCCAAAGTGTTGGAATGACAGGCGTGAGCCACTGCGCCTGACCGTATACTCGGACTTTTATATGCAATCCTGAAACACAAACTGAGTTTAAAATCATTATGTACACAGCACAGTTTGTGAGTTCTTTAAGCCGGGCGCGGTGGCTCATGCCTGAAATCCCAGAACTTTAGGAGACAGAGGAAAAACCAGAGGCAGGAAGATGGCTTGAGACCAGCTTGGGCAACACAGCAAGGCTCTGTCTCTATAAACAATAAAATTTATGGAGGCCAAGGCGGGCGGGTCATCTGAGGTCGGGAGTTCAACACCAGCCTGACCAACATGGTGAAATCCCGTCTTAAAAAAAAAAAACAAAAAAAACAATAAAATTTAAAATTAGCCAGGCATGGTGGCAGGTGCCTGCGGTCCCAGCTGCTTGGGAAGCTGAGGTAGGAGAATCGCGTGAGCCAGGAGGTCACGGCTACAATGAGCGATGATCACAGCCTGGGTGACACAGCAAGACCCTGCCTCAAACAAACAAAAGAAGTCATTTAGGCCGGGCGCAGTGGCTCACGCCTGTAATCCCAGCACTTTGGGAGGCCGAGGAGGGCGGATTACTCGTGGTCAGGAGTTCAAGACCAGCCTGGCAAACATGGTGAAACCCCCGTCTCTGCGAACATACCAAAATCAGCCCGGCAAGGTGGCGCATGCCTGTATTCCCAGCTACCTGGGAGGCTGAGGCAGGAGGATCCTTTGAACCCGGGGGGGGGGGGGGGTGGAGGTTGCAGTGAGCCAAGGTCTCACCATTGCACTCCAGCCTGGGTAACAGAGCGAGGCTCCGTCTCAAAAAACTGAAAATAAAAAAGAATTATTTATTGAGTCTAGCTCGACTTATACAGCTCAAAAGTAGCAGAACCTGGCTCACAAAAGACCTTAAAATTACTCTCTAACAGGATGCAAAACAGGGTGAAACCCAATTTTGATTTAAAAAAAAAAAAGTAATGAAAACGGGGGCAAGTCATAAAAGAAACAGTTGCACGTGTGTGAGATGGAAGGTGACGCAGCCTCTTTATGGGCACTGTTAAAAGCATTTTATATATATATATATATATATGTATATATATGTATATATATATATTTTTTTTTTTTCTTAGTAGAGACGGAGTTTCTCCATGTTGGTCAGGCTGGTCTCGAACCCCTGACCTCAAGTGATCCGCCCACCTCGGCCACCTCAGAGGATCCATAACCCTCCCGTCCCCGGTGCCTCCCACTGCGCAGGCGCACTCCCATCCCCCAGCCCCGCCCGCTCACACACCTCCCAGCCTGCGGCTCGCGCCCCGCGGGCAGGCACTGCGCATGCTCACCGCACGGGCCTCCCGAACGCCTCGTCTCCGCCTGCACGCAAGGCGCATGCTCCATGCCCAGGCTTCCCCTCCCCTCCCTGTAGCAGGCAGGCACTGCGCATGCTCACATCTCCGCAGCTCTACGGCCGCTTCGCCGCCATGGGCCGCACCTCTAAAAATCCTAACCGCCACAAGATCTCTGGCTGGATGCCCGCCACAACCTCTCCCCCGTTCTCATCGCAGGCGCTTGGCCCCTACCAAAGCCTCCTGCAAAGGCTTCGAGGGCCGCGGGTGGCCAGCGGCGACGTCGCCTCGTGATGACGTCGTCGCGACGACGCGACGCAGTGACGTAACGCGGGCGCCCATGTTGAGGAGCGCGTCTGGCGCGCCCGTTTTGAAGCTGCCTTGAGCCGCAGCGCGGGCCGGACCGCGCCCCTTTTTAGGGTCCCCGCGCCCCGCGAGTCCGCGGCGTTGCCGGGACGTGGGTTCTGTTCCCCGCGCCGGGTCCCGCATCGCCGAGGTCCGTTTGAGCGGGACCGAAGCCCCCGGGGCGGGGCGGGGCGGGCGGGCGTCCGGGGGCGCCCCGGGCCCAGCCCCCGCCATGCCGCCCGGGAAGGCCCTGCAGCCCGTGCTGAAGATGAAGGTGGACGAGCTGTTCCTGTGCTGGCTCAGCGAGGCCAGCACGCAGCGGATGCTGCAGGACTGTCTGCGCCGCATCAAGGCGCCCGGGCGGGACCAGCCGGCCACGGGGGACGCGGAGCAGCCCGCAGCCCCGCCCGCCGCCCCCAGGCCCAGCGGGCTCGACCCCCCGGGGACCCCCGGCCCGGGCCCCGCGCTGCCCCTGGGCGCCGCCTGCATCCCCAGGAACGCGCCCCACGCTCGAGGCACCCGTAGATCCGCAGGCACGAGGGTCGTAAGTTCCTCTTCCTTCTACTAACACCCTCGCAGGTGGCTCTGGCGGGAGAGCGTCAGACCCCAAAACGGTTTCATACCGCCCCCGGCCAGATGAGCTGCTCTTCCCACAACCTCCTTCACACAGGTGACCGTTCCTGGCAGAAAAAATGAACGCAGCCTGGCGCGGTGGCTCACGCCTGTCATCCCAGCACTTTGGGAGGCCGAGGCGGGTGGATCACGAGGTCAAGAGATCGAGACCATCCTGGTCAACACGGTGAAACCCCGTCTCTACTAAAAATACAAAAAATCAGCTGGGCATGGTGGTGCGTGCCTGTAATCCCAGCGACTCAGGAGGCTGAGGCAGGAGAATTGCCTGAACCCAGGAGGCGGAGGTTGCGGTGAGCCGAGATCGCGCTATTGCACTCCAGCCTGGGCAACAAGAGCGAAACTCCGACTCAAAAAAAAAAAGAAAAAATGAACGCTCAGGCCACCCGCACCTTCCCGTTTCCTCTGACCCCTGTCTACACCACTAGGTGCATACACACATACACTCACATAGGTAGGTACACACACACAGGTGCATACACACAGGTACATACACACATAGGTGTGTGCACATGGGCACACACAGGTGCATACACACAGCTGCAAACACAGATACAGGTGTGCGCACAGGTGAATGCACATAGTGCATACACATACATAAGTGCCTGGGACTCAGGCCCTGGCTGTCCGTGGCTGCCCTGTTCCCATCCGCCTGCTGCGTCCCCATCTCTGCTGCTGCTCAGGAGGGAGCTGGGACGCGTGTTCTCGTGCGGCGAAGTCGTGTTACGGGACGCGTGTTCTCGTGCAGTGAGCTCGTGTTACGCGTTGACCTCAGGAGCAGGCAGCCCCTCTTGGAATGTGGAAGCTCCGACATCGGAGACAGAAAGCTGTCCAGATAAAGAGGAGACAGCACGTGTTCTTGTAACCCTTGGCTTTAAGAAATGGACTGAGTGTTGCGTTTAGTTGACCTGCAATGAACGGTGCCGTTTTCAGCGTGCAGAGCAGCGTTCTTGCGAGCGAGCACATCACCCTACGTACGCAGCCCCACGGTTAAGATACAGACCAGCTAATTTTTTGTATTTTTAGTAGAGACGGCGTGCCTGTAATCCCAGCGACTCAGGAGGCTGGGGCAGGAGAATTGCCTGAACCCAGGAGGCGGAGGTTGCGGTGAGCCGAGATCACGCCATTGCACTCCAGCCTGGGTAACAATAGCGAAACTCCGTCTCAAAAAAAAAAAAAAAAAAAAAAGATACAGGCCAGGCCCACCAGGCTGCTGTGTGCCCCGTGGCCCAGGCAGCCACCTGTATGTGTTCCCTCCTCTCTGGAGCTCAGCGTTGTCTGCTCCGTCCTCTCTGGAGCTAAGCACGCAGTGGTGTGACCAGTGGCTCACTGCCACCTTCACCTCACCCTCCTAAAAACTTGGACCACAGGTGTGTGCCACCACGTCTGGTTAATTTTATCATTTTTGTAGAGATGGGGTCTTGCTATGTTGCCCAGGCTGGTCTCAAACTCCTGGGCCCGAGAGATCCTCCCACCGTGAGCTCACACTGTCTTTCCAGGAGCAAACGTGTTTAGTTTTTCAGTTTTTTTCTTTTATGACTCTTATTTTTTGTGTCTTGTTACAAAATGTTTGCATATCCCAAGGTTTCGAAGACGTTCTCCCATTTTCTTCAGAAAGCTGCGTGGTTTTCAGTTTGCGTTGAGGCCTGTGATCCATCTCAGGTCAGTTTTTGTGCATGCTATGAGGTGATACTTGGATTACCCCAGCACCGTACGTTGAAGAGGCTTTTTCTTCCCCCATAGAATCGTGTTGTTGAAAATCAGTTGGCCGGGCACGGTGGCTCAAGCCTGTAATCCCAGCACTTTGGGAGGCTGAGGTGGGTGGATCACGAGGTCAAGAGATCGAGACCATCCTGGTCAACAAGGTGAAACCCCGTCTCTACTAAAAATACAAAACATTAGCTGGGCATGGTGGCGCGTGCCTGTAATCCCAGCTACTCAGGAGGCTGAGGCAGGAGAATTGCCTGAATCCAGGAGGCGGAGGTTGCGGTGAGCCGAGATCGCGCCATTGCACTCCAGCCGGGGTAACATGAGTGAAACTCCGTCTCAAAAAGAAAATCAGTTGACTCACGCCTGTAATCCCAGCACTTTGGGAGGCCGAGGCGGGCGGATTGTGAGGTCAGGAGTTTGAGACCAGCCTGGCCAACAGAGTGAAACCCCATCTCTACTAAAAAAAAATAAAAATAAAAATCAGCTGAGCGTGGTGGTGGGCGCCTGTAATCTAAGCTACTTGGGAGGCTGAGGCAGGAGAATCACTTGAACCCGGGAGGCGGAGGCTGCGGTGAGCCGAGATGGCACCCTGCACTCCAGCCTGGGCGACAGGGTAAAACTGTCTCAAAAAAAAAAAAGAAAAAAAAAAAACTGCGTGCATCTGGAATGATGATGATTTCCATTCCCACTGCTGTGTGTTTGTCCATCACATTCATGGCACTTCCCAGATAAGTGTCACTTCTTAGCACATTTTGAAAGCAGGTAGTGTGAGTCCGAGTCTGTTCTCTAAAACTGCTTTCCAGCAAGAAAGGGCTGTTGGAATTTTGATTGGGGTTGCTTTGAATCTGGGGATCAAATTGGTTTAATTGGTAGTTTCATAGTATTTTCCAGTCCACAAGCAGAGGACTTTGCATTTAATTAGGTTTTGTTCAGCAATGCTCTGTAGTTTCCAAAGGATAGAGGCTGAGGTGGGCAGATCATGAGGTCAGGAGTTCAAGACCAGCCTGGCCAACATGGTGAAACCTCATCTCCACTAAAAATACAAAAATAAGCCGGGTGTCATGGTGGGCGCCTTAATCCCAGCTGCTCAGGAGACTGAGGCAGGAGAGTCGCTTGAACCCGGGAGGCAGCGGTTGAAGTGAGCTGAGATAGTGCCATTGCACTTCAGCCTGGGCCACAGAGCAGACTCCATCTCAAAAAAAAAATTATATCCGTTTATTTAGCTCTTTAATTTTTGGAAGCTACTTTGTAGTTTTGGTATCCAGTTAACTCATGATTTTTATCAGACCACATGCCTGCATTCTAGAACATTAGAATGGGGTATTTGGAGATAACTGTGTGTGTGTGTACACGTGTGTGTGATGCGTATGCACACACAGATGCATACACACATACAGGTGCACATACATAGGTGGATACACACACACAGATGGACACACATACATAGGTGCATACACACACATAGGTACACATGCACACGGGCATACACAGGTGCAGACAGGTACATGCACACACAGGTGCATATGCACACATAGGTACATACACACCACTAGGTGCATACACACAGGTACATACACACATAGGTGTGTGCACATGGGCACACACAGGTGCATACACACAGCTGCATACACAGATACAGGTGTGCGCACAGGTGAATACACATATAGTGCATACACATACATAGGTGCACACACACATAGGTGCATACACAAGGGCACACATAGGTGAATATACACATTGGATACACACACACATGGGTACATGTGCACACGGGGCATACACACACGGGTGCATACACATACAGGTACACACATAGGTGGATACAGGTGCATACACATACGTAGGTGCATACACACAGGTACATACACGCATAAACACGGGCATACACACACATAGGTGCATACGCAGTGCATACACGTAGGTGCACACGTGCATACACATACAGGTACACACATAGGTCGATACATAGGTGCATACATGCACAGGTATATATGCACACGGGGCATACACAGGTGCATACACATACATAGGTGCATACACACACAGGTACACAGGGCATACACACACATAGCTGCATACACACACATAGGTGCATACACAGGTACATACACAGGGCATACACACATAGGTGCATACACGCACAGGTGCACCCACACAGAGACTCAGGTGTGCTCATCTTAACGTTTCATTAGAGTTCGTAACAAACATGTTACAGGACAGAAAAGCACCCAGAACCCTCAGGGCGGGAGCTCAGGGTTTCTGAAGGTTTCCTGCGGGAGCCTTGAGCTTGCCCAGGGACCGCATGTCTTGTATCAGGAGCGTACCTGTCTGCGTTCCGCTCTGACGGCCTTCATGATGGTCATCTGTTCGCACTTTCTTAGTCGGGAGTGATGAGAATCTCATGTGAGGAGGAAGGAAGGTGTGTCACCTTCGAGATTCTGCCACCGCGGAAGCTCCATGAGGAGGCTCGTCCCTCCCTCCGTGTCCTTCTGTGGACAGAGAGAACCATGACGTTTCCTGAGATGAGCTGGACACGTCTCAAATCCACTGGAGCCCGTCCTGTTAGGGCCTGTGAAACAGCGAGGAAGCCGCCGCGCTCTGCGCCCGGCACCTGCGGGGAGAGGACGGGAATTCTGGGCCGTCTTCCTGTGTCGTGGCTTTGCGTCTTACGAGCTCTGCTTTTAGCTTTGGATGTTCAGAAAAACACGTTCTCACGAAGGCTGGGTCGCCATCGTGAGGCTTTCAGACGTAGGATTTCACAGAAGCACCTACGTGTGCTCATTGAACACACATTTTTATCCTAAAACAAACGGTCTGAACAAATGTGTGTTTACTGAGGATGAAAAGGGGAGAGATGGCTGTGAACATTTGCATAAAGGTCTTCTGGGCATCGGAGGAGTTTTAGAGGCTCATGGTGCGATGGTGTCCCCATGAGAGGAGAGCGGAGATTCGGGTGCCGTGAGGGCCTTCATCGGCCCAGGTGGCAATGTTGTCTCATCCATGTAGGGGTGTGGGGGAAACGGGCTGAAAAGAGGCCTCATGGATTCCACGCTGCCTGTGGTGCAAAAACAGCTCTGTGACAGCCCTGTTGAGTGTGGACGGCCCTGTCCCTGTATATGGTAGTGTATAGACCCCCCGTCATGGCCCTGTGGAGTGCGCATGGTGCTGTCCCCCCCCCCGATGTGTGTGGACGGCCCTGTGGCT